TGTTGCAGCGGGAGTCCATGATGCACATTCACATTCCTATTCCAAAATCCCTAGTGAGATAAAAGATTTCACAATTTTAGCATATCTTCAGTTGCTACTGCATACAACACAAATACATATAAGAGCTAAACTGCTATGTTCTGTATTCTTTGCTTAGTACCACTAAGAGATGAAAAAGGAGACATCTATAATTGTCAGTAAAACTCAGAAAATCCTAATGGCAAACCTGAAAAGCCTATTTCCAGACAATGGAAACCCTGGCAGATTCTAAATGCATAGGATATCAAATTTTAACTAATATGAAATAAGACACAAGAAGCTCCCCTGCTCTAGCTTCCAAGCTGCCAGCTTCAGGGCTCCTGTCTACCTTCCTACCACCCTCTTGTGGGTCTCCTGTGACCTTCTAGCTGCTGGACAAGGCCTGCTAAGGGCCCTGCTCCTGCTTCTCAGGTTTCTTCCTAAGAATCAGGATGTCCCCTTCCCCCATCCCATAAGACTGCAGCTTCTAGACAAGGCCTGCTTAGTACCCTCATTCCCTTCCTCTCTGCCCCCTCCAAGATTCCTTAAAGCCTCACTTGTGCCATGTGGGCACACTCTAGCCACTGCACAAGACCCAGCAAGTGCCCTAGTCTTGAGCAACTCAGCCTCTCCTCATCAGTACTATCCAATCTACATATAGGCACTTCCTGTGACCCTCCAGTTATGGCACAAGGACCGATAAACACCTCTGCCCCATATTGTCATGGTTCACCCCATTCAGGAAGTCCCAAAGCCTTATTCATGTCCTCCTCTGGCTCTCCAGTTGTCTAAGGACACATGGTCAGCACCCGTGTTACTTTCCATTCCCTGTAGTCCTTAAACCTTGGGTCTCCTGAAGCCTTGTCACATACATACCCAGGACACTCTAGCTGCCTGTGGTCACATGATCTTTTAGCTGCTGCACAAAATTCTGCTTTTGTTCATCTTGGCCTCTCCCCATGGGGACTTCACAAGGTTCTGTACATACCCTCCCTCTACATGAAGCTTAGTAAGCACCTCTTCCTGCTACTCTTGGACCTTTCACCTAAAGACCTAACCCCAGCACTGGCCAGCTGCACTTTTCTGAACATCAGGAAGGTGAGCATGATAGAATATGTGTTGTGAAAATAGGAGGGACTGGGGTGACAATGTTTAAACAGGGATATGTAGGGAGAATAGGGGATACAAAGAAAGCTCACTGAAACTATAAAAGTATAAAAACCCACATGGAAATCTACTAGTTTATAAGCAAATTAAAAACAGAATTTAAAAGCAATTGTGAGAATAGGTACCATGTATAGGAAGATAACGCTGATATCAAAACCTATGAGTTAAATTAAAACCCCATTGTCAGCTGTGGGACACAGTCCAGACAGCTGTTGGCCAGCAAAGTCCCAAATGTCATCAAAATTATTTAAATTATAACTATTTATCATTTATTGTTCACCAGAAATGGATGGTATTACTGAAGACACTATACACCTTGTGGAACGAAACCATGTGGGAAATGACCTGGAGTCTTCCACCCAGCTGGATAACTTTCATAATGCTGGAAATTTCTACACAGGCAGTGGGGGAGGGATGTGAAATGTTGGCAAGGATCTATACCAAATTTAGACCTTGGATACAATATCATTTTGCCATGCAAGAGGCACTTACTGGTGCAGCAATGGAACAGATTTTATGTTGGTTGCCAACAATTACTGGTTAGATCTGAGGTCTGTTCTGTAGAAGTTAGCTCATGGTCAGTATTGGGAACCTAGTTATAGGTTCACGACTTAGGAAGTCAGAGGCAATAGCAGTAAAACTCTTGTTTTACTAAATGGATATAGTATCAAACATCCTCTTAAACAGTTATGTTTAACATTCACAAACTAGTGTTGTCCTCAGATGCAATCAAAGCCACCTCTCTTTGGAGCTAATGGTGGATAATGCAGAAACTCCTGGATGTTCAAGGAGCTGAGAACATGTGACAGTTGAATGTTCAACATTAAAAAGAGAAGCCACACTCATAAAATTCTCCCCTAAGCTCAAGGAACACAGACGAGGGGCTAGAAAGAACATAAAGGTAAATGGGTGTTGTGAAACTCCGTCTAATAGGTATGATATGACTGAAGCATTTATGAACTCAAAGCAGGTGTAGCTGGTTACATGAGACTGAACCAGAAGACATTCAGTCACTCATGAGGCAGTGGCTTCTGGGGCCCCATTCTTCCCAGAGGAGCTAAGGGCAGTGGAGGGCTACAGGAGAAAAGAGGACTGCTGTCTTCAGTGATGTAACTAGCAGTGAGTCACTCATGCTCCAGTTGACAGCTTCACACCCATGTCCACTCAGCTACTTCTGATTAATCACAGTTGTTCACAATACAAAAAGAAAAGAAAAAGACATAAAAGTAGGGCTGGGATAGGTGGAAGGTAGATAGTGGGACAGGGCGTGGGGGTGGAGGGGACGATGACTTGAGAATAGAGGGATGAATGAGACAAGAATGTACTATAAACATGTGTGAAATTGTCAAAGAATAAATTAGTGAAGGAAGTAAAATTTAAACCACAGACAAACAAAAGTCACAAACAATCCAAATGAACCAAACAACTATATAAAAACTAAAATAAAAAGCAGATGCTACAAGAAGGTGTAGCTGGTTACATGAGACTGAACCAGAAGACATTCAGTCACTCATGAGGCAGTGATTTCTGGGGCCCCATTCTTCCCAGAGGAGCTAAGGGCAGTACTTGGTATAAGAATCCTTCCCCACTGATAATGACTAACACTGCTCCTAAATACTCTTTGCAGCAATATTAGTATCAAACTCAATATTAAGACTGCTTGACACCCATAGATCTAGATCTTGATGCCAGCTGGCTTTGCCAGATGAGTTACCCCAACTTCTGTCCCCAGCCTTCACCTCCACACCAACAGGCTAGCTCCAGACTCATGGCTCACGATCCAGCTTTACCTGACCTATGTTCCATCAAGCAGCTCATGCATAGAATCTTCCATAGCTTCTAACTCACTCCGTTCTTAACCTGATGTAAGCTAAGGCAGGCTAGAATCTCACATAATCCACAAACACCAAAGTAAGTCTAAAAGCCCAGATCACATACAAACAATAAGAAAGACAAAGAATCTCTTATTAAACTTATAGAAATGTTATTTAGTGAAAATTACATAAATGAACCCCAGGATGCAGAATTTAAAAGGGAAACTGTAACTCTTACCAAAAAACTAAAAAAGCTTAAAGAAGATGTGAACAAACAACTCACTGAATTTCAGAGGATAACAATAAACAGGAGGGAGAGGAAACTGTGGTTGGTATGGAAAATAAATTTTAAAAGGTGGGAAAAAAAGATAAGCAGAGAAAATAACTTTAAAACGCACTGTGTTTTGTCTAAGAAAACACAAATATAATACTGAATAAAATTTTGAGGAAAATTCAGGATTTGAAAACTGAATTGAGTAGGAACTCAGTAGAAATTAAGATGGAATTAAAAAACTCAATGACCCAATTAGAAAACTCAGGAGAAAGCCTTATAGTAGAACAAAGCATGTAGAAGATACCATGACTTTAAGAGAAAGTAGAGAAATCAGACCAAGCAAACAAAAAAATATAAGATGTTTTAAAATATACAAAAACAAACAAGAACTGTGAGATACAATAAAAAGACCAAACCATTGAATTATAGACACAGATTAAGAATTTCAGGCAAATGGCATAAACCAGATTTTCAACAAAATCATAGAATACTTACCCAAATTAAGGTAAGGTATAGTCATATAGAACAAAAGCCACAAAGAATACCAAATAGATAGGGCCAGAAAAGCAACTCTCCATGCCATATCATAGTAAAAAACATTAAGTATACAGCACAAAAATAGAATACTGAAAGTACCAGGAGGAAAATTACAAGTCACATATAAAGCAAAATTCATTGGAAACTTAAAAGCTGGAAGAATCCAGAGAAATGTAACCTAATTCTAAAACCCACAAATGACAACCTAGACTACTGTACCCCACAAAACTTTCTGTCATACTTTATAGAAAAACTTTTCATCATATAAACAAGCTACACTTAGAGGTAGAGGAAGCATTTTTATCATGGCTGCCAGATGGATCTATGAATCAGGATGCCAGGGTATATACTTTAAATAGGAGGTCTAGATGAAAAAGTAAGTAAACCACATATACACGCCTTAATTACAGTTCTACCTATTGCTTGGCATGGCATTGCTCTCCCTCAAAGCATAGGCTAACATAACCCCCAATGCCAGGCATAGCAAACCTGATTTCAAATTATTGATCAGGAGAACCCAAGAGACCCCAAAACATTACAGGCTACTCCCTGGGTGCCTTCTGGAAAAAGAAGTCAATGCACTAATGCTGAAGGCACAACACTTTAGAGAACCCACTACTGCCACTTTGCTAAACCAGTATAATTTCTAACTGCATTCCAACCCCCCATCAAAGAAGCTTCTGTTTGCAGCTGATAGATATAATTATAGAAGCCACAACTGCTCATAATGCAGAGAGCTGCTAATCTGAGGTCACCATCTCCAAATGATATATTTACAAACTAGCCTTTACACTTAAGACCTAGGGAACATTATAGAAACTGGGACAGAAAGACTGGAAAAGCCATAGGACTCGGACATCCACTGCAAGATAATTTCTTTTTTTTTAAATTTTATTTTAAAGAGGACAAAAAAGTAGAAGAGCAGAGTAAAGGTACTGTATCTGTGGGAAAGGAGGAGTGATTTGAGATATATTGCATAGAATTCTCAAAAATATAATAAAATATATTATTTTAAAAGTCAAGGCAGTTTTTCTTCTCTGTATATATTTAGAGTGTAGTTAATTTAAATATATAATTTAAAATAAAGTCAAAATCTAAATGACTGTTTTAAAAAAAGACAAACAGTTAAACATAATTGAAGGAAGTGAATTTTTAGCCACGTAAAACATGAAATGGAGTTCATTACATACCACAGCACTCAGGGCACTTTGGATGTTTGAGCACATTTATTCCATACCCTGGAAAGCAGCGGTTAACCCACACCATCTGAAGGGTTCCTTCAATGTAGTATATCTCAGGCAGTGGCTCCACACGTTTGCCCAGAACTTCTACTTGCTGATTAAAAAATCTCTCTATAAGATTTTTAGCCTACATTAGAAAAAGAATTTTAAAAATTAATCATCTATATGGCTAATATAAATTTAGAATAAATAATGAATGGAAAAAGTCTCAAATTCTTTATCTTTAGTTAAGATACACATAACACACAAATGGGAAAGTCTTCCACTCATGCAAACACCTCAAAAATGTTTCAAAATGTACTTCTATTTTTATATGTGATAGCAATAACTGATTGTATTTAGCAACTTTTTGGTCCTTTTGGACTTTGAGTAATTTACAGATAGACAACTGAGAAAAAATAAGTCAGATGTTTAAACTTAAACACATTTATAAAATTAAATTTACTTAAAATATTTTATAAGTCACTGATAAGTATGTTTTCTACCACCCCATTCCTTATTTTAGGAAGGAAAATTAGGCTTAGAAACAAGATAAAATATGATTAAGTTCTGGCTCTTTGTTCTAAAACTAAACTTACAAATAGTAAGACATCATTTTGACAGATAATCACCATGATATCTGCAATACTGGCTCTGACTTGACTGCTAGGAGTAATAAGAGGCTATGTTTTCCTCTATGGAGTCATACATCTACACGATATACGAAGTAGGTTCATGAACTTAAACCCAAAGCAAACCAGTTAGCTTCCTCTGCAACAAGAACCTGTGCCTCCAGTCTGGTCAGAAGCAAGGACAACTGGACACACTGCTCTTGAACCTCAACTTGTCTGACTTCTTTAAATACCATCATATGTATATTTTCCATGATAAATTCAAGAATTATTAAACCTTTGAAATAAACTACACTGAACATAAATAGGAATCTTGTTTCTCTATTACTCAATTACTCACATGTTTTCACATATTAAATGTTTTGTAATTTTGATAAGCTCTGTCTAATGAATTTTTCACATTTACTTGGTCAAACATAAATTTCAGTTAAGGAAATACTGTAAGAATTAGTTACAGGGGGCTGAAAAGTTGGCTCAGCAATTAAGAGCACTTGCTGCTGTTACAGAGGACTTCAGTTCCAGTCCCAGCACCCACATGGCAGTTCATATCTTCCTGCAACTCCAGTTCCAGGAAGCTCTCCCAGGCCCCAGCACAAGGCCCATGGAGTGCACTTTCACACATGCTGGCAAAACACTCATACACTTAAAAAAATATATGTAATCTGGTATCTAATTGCTAACATTTAAAGTGCTGTTAAAATTAAAAGTTTAAAGAGATACAAATCATAATCATGAAAACTCCTATGCAAAATAAAAGCAATCAAAAGCCAACAACAAAAAAGAAAACCCAATGATCTAGACCTGAGAACACTGACAGACACATGTCAGACTACATTTCTCATTCTCCTCTAATAATTATATACAAATACTTTATCATAAAAATAATAGTATTAAATATCCAAACAATTGCTGATATTACATATTTTGATTGTACATATAAGGCTAATAGTTTATATCAAAAGATAAATGGGAGGGATTTTGAACTAGGTAGGAATTACAAGTACAAATGTACATTTTTAAACAATTTAAATGATGTAAGAATTATGATAATTTTGAAACTTTCCCAAAACTAAAATTCTAGTTTGAGGCAACAAATATAACTGAATGAACATCAGATCTCTTATGCTATTCCTCTTCTTCACTCCCTAAATCTTCACAGAACAGATAATTATATCGTACAATTAAGTTGTTCTACAATGACTGGCTAGAGGCTATGGACTAGAAAAGAAACATTTCAACACAAACTTTAAAACAATTGTTTGACAGAGACAAGTTTGACAACTTACTTTGAACATTGCAATTTCCTTCACTGAACTTGTTAATACTGAATAAAATTAGCTGAAAATGCTTTAATGCTTTTGTTATAAGTCAGCTCACCAAATTCAGAAGGCAACAATTGCCTAGAAGTGTATGAGTTTCTGGACAGCAGAAAATATCATACATCAGACAACTAATTTGCTAGGGTTATGCATCATAATGTAAATATCTGTGTTTTCTGATGGTCTTAGGTGGCCCCTCTGAAAGGGTCATTCCACGCCTCCCTCCAAAGAAGCTACAAACCACAGGTTGAAAATCACTGTACTAGACAATCATTTGAATACTTTAGGTAACATACTACTTAAGAATCTATAGGCCATGCCAGCAAGAAGAACAGACAGGGTGCCCGCCTGCCCTCTAAACTGTCCCACAACGTGAGTTCCTAAGGCCCAAACTACTGTCACCCCTTCACACCTCACTGCACACCCCTCCCCCATTGATGTGTCCCTGCTTCCAATTTTGGCAAATATCCAGTGCTTAGATGCAGGCCACACCATTTAGAAGAGCAGGTATAGGCCAGGCCAGCTAAAACAGGAAGGCAAACACACTGATGGATAAGAGGCCATGCCAACTGCCAGAATTCCATATAGGCAGCCCACCCACAGTCCTCCTCCATTCTCTCAGTGCCTTCCCACACGATTCCCAATCCCTTGTGCCCTCCTCATTACAGTTTCTGCTCCCACCACCCCCAACTCAGGTAGAGACCCTCTGCTTAACCAAACGCCATGCTAGCCAACAAAAGTCCAGGCCACAAAGAAAAGAAGACCAATGAGGAAACAGAAACCAAACAAAACACCCATCCAACATAGACAAACTCAGAAATCAGCACCTAACCCTATAATTACCCCAAACCCAGATAGATGACTAGAGACCCACTTAAGAACACAATCAACAACAACAGGCTCAATATGTCCCCATCAGAACCTAGCTATCCTAATACAGCAAGCACTAAAAATTCCAAATCTTAAAACCAAACTGACCAAGATGATAGGGTTTCTTAAATAAGAAGTTAATAAATCCCTTATAGAAACTAAGAAAAAGACAAACAAAAAACTTGCACACACACACACCACCACCACCACCACCACCTCCTCCAAAAACAACAATGAAATGACAGGAATTAAATCGTTTGTCATTAATGCCTCTCAATATCAATGGGCTCAATTCCCCAATAAAAAGGCACAGGCTAATAGAATGGATGAAAAAACAGAATTGTATCCTTCTCTTGGATACAATAAATACACCTCAATATCAAAAACAGACATTACCTCAAAGAAAATGGTTGAAAACATATTTCCCAAGCAGATGGACCGAAGAAACAAGTTGGTGTAGCTATTCTAATATCTAACAGAATAGACTTCAAACCAAAATTAATCAAAAACAAAAAGATAGGGAACATTTCCTACTCATCAAAAGAAAATACACAAAGAGGACACTGCAATTCTTAACATCTATAACCTAAACACAAAGGCACCCACATTTGTAAAAGCTTAAGTCACACACCAGCCTTCACATATAAGTAGTGAGAGATTTCAATGCCCCAGTTCTACCAATAAACAAGTCACCCAGACAAAAACTAAATGGAGAAATAGTAGAATTACCAGACATTCTGAAACAAATGGTCTAGACTGATATCTACAGAACATTTCACCCAAACATAAAAGGATATACCTTATTCTTAGCATCTCTTAGAACATTCTCCAAAATTGACCACATACCTGGTCACAAAGCAAGTCTCAACAGATACAAGAAAACTGAAATAAATCACTGTATCCTATCAGACCACCAGGGATTACAGCTAAATTTCAACAATAATAGAAACAAAAGAAAGCCTACAAACTGATGGAAATTAAACGACGACTACTAGGTCAAGGAAGAAAGAAAGAAAAAAAGAAAGAGGAAGAGTAGGAGAGAAAAAAGGAAGAAAGAAAGGAAGGAAGGAAGGAAGGAAGGAAGGAAAAAGAAAGAAATTAGACTTTCTAGAATTCAATGAAAAGTAATGTACAACATACCCAAACTTACGGGTCATAATGAAAGCAGTACTAACAGGAAAGTTCACAGAATTAAGTATCTACATTTAAAAAATCAAGCAACCTCAGCATACCTGAAAACTCTAGAACGAAAAGAAACAAACACACCCAAGAGAAGTAGATGGCAAGAAATAAACTGGAGGCTGAAATCAATAAAATAGAAACAAAGAGAACTATACAAAGAATCAATGAAACAAAGAGTTGGTTCTTTGACGAAAATCCACAAGTAAGACAAACTCTTATCTAACACAGAGAGAGAATATCCAAATTAACAAAACAGAAATGAAAAGACACCAAGGAAATCCAAAGAATCATTAGGTTATACTTAAAAAACGATATTCCACAAAATTGAAAAATCTAAAATGAATAAGCAATTTTCTTGACAGATACCACTTAGCAATGTTTCAGTCAAGATCAGATAAGCAATGTAAATGGACCTATAACCACTAGGCAAATAAAGCAATCATTAAGTCTCCCAACCAAAACCAGCCCAGTTTTAGTGTAAAATTTTAGCAGACTTTCAAAACACAGCTAATGACAATACTCCTCAAATTATTTCACAAAACAAAACAAAACAAAAAAACAATTTCCCAATTCATTTTATGAGGCCACAGGCACCCTGACACCCAAACCACACAAAGATTCAACAAAGAAAGAGAAATAGAGACCCATTTCCCTCATGAACATTGATGCAAAAATACTTAGTAAAATACTTGCAAACCTGATCCAAGAACACATCAAAGAGATCATCCACCATGATCTCTTTATCCCAGAGATTCAGGAAGATTTCAACATAGAAAGATCCATCAATGTAATCCATCATATAAACAAACTGAAAGGAAAAACCCACATGATCATCTCATCAGAGGCTAAAATGACTTTGACAAAATCCAACACTCCTTAATGATAAAAGTCTTGGAGAGATCAGGGACACAAAGACATACCTAAACATAATAAAGGCAATTTACAAAAGCCTATAATCAATATCAAATTAAATGGAGAGAAACTCCAAGCAATTCACTAAAATCAGTAACAAAATATGGTGTCCACTCTTTCTACACCTATTCAACATAGTACTTGAAGTTCTAGCTAGAGTAATAACAAGACAACTGAAGGAGATCAAGGGATCACAAATTGGAGAGGAAGAAGTCAAGTATCACTATTTGCAG